GTATAGACATACCCTAAGAACCAGACTGGGTCCGCAAATAGTGTTTAAATGACCTGAGCTACACCCACAAATAATCATAGATGCAAAACTGCACCTACAAATATTTGTTGTAGCAAAACTATGGGCACCAAAGGGTAACCTGGTAAAGCCCAGATAGAAAATCAGGCCAAAACGTTGCATGTGAATGTTCATCTTTAAATCATTCTGATGATCATGATTTTTCTCTGCTATCTATAGTCCTCTCTGCCCTTGACCTGCTGTTTGAATTTGAGCAAGTCACTTGACCCCTTTGTGCCTCATTTTCCCTATTTGTAAAATACTTTGAGATATATGGATGACAAGTGCTAAGTAGTGTTACTATTTATTATGTGGTATCCTGCCTATAACAACTACACATACTTTTTATTGTTTTTAAACTTGACATCAAGTAGTGTCTGTGAAATGTTAATACAGAAAGGTCTCGGCTACTGCTCTGGATGAATGTGAGAGCTTCACTGAACATGCATGTATGCAGACACGTTCTCTGTGTTTCCCTCTTGGGTGTGATTATAGCTGCAGTAGGTAACTAACATTTCCCAGCTCACTGCCAAAACAGTTTGATGCTTGACCTACTGTGAAGATCCGGAAACATACTCAGTTTAAGAGGCTTCATGTTGCAGCTCATGAGACACTGAGCCATAGAAGAGGACTGGCTCCAAATGCTCTTGTACCTTCTCATGTTTTATTTATCAATAAAACAAAAAAGTTCAAAATATTGCCAGACACAAGCCTCTTTTTGACAGCGCCTGCCCAAGTTCTCTGACAGAAAGAAACTGTAGGACACTAACAAATATAGATAAAGAAAGCTGTCACTATGCTAGCCCACTTGCCATTGGCCAGTCTTCCATGCAAAATCTTCTGTGTCAAAATCTTCTGCACTGTTTACTGTTCAATAATGGAACTCTGCTCAGACTTAGGTGTGCGCAAAGCGATATGTTCTCTTGGCAAAATGATTGAATTTCTTTCAAGTTAAACAAAGGATTTTTTAAAAATCCCAGTGACTTTTTTTTGCCTAAAAAATGTGTGTAACTATTCATGCTTTTTAATTTTTTTCATTTGGTATTTGGTAAAATAAAGGAACTACTGGTATGTGCAAAAAAAACCTGCCGCTTTTAAAGGCTAACAGAAATCTAACCAATCTACTAACTGTGCTGCCAGGATGAGGATAGGGAACTGTGAGGCGCACAGCCTGTTGTCTGTGTATCAGGCTGGGAACCTGTTTTTGATTCACCGTTTCATTTAAATCCCTAGCCTACACTAGTTGGCCCACCTTTGACCTTTCCATATATCCACATGCCCTGCACTGTAGAAGGATGGGTGGGGTGCAACCATGACTCCCCAGATGGCTCACAAATCTGTTCATCTTCCACATGTTTTTCCACAGAAAGGGAAGAAGGAATCCTGAGGGATCAATGACTTGCAGTAAGGAGTCGATAACCAGGAGTGTAGCAGAAGGCCCTTAGCCACTCAGCACGTTGTTAATACTCAGGAAGTGTTCTCCCCCAAGGTCATCATGCTGGTCTATAATTAAGAACAATATATGTGTATTTGTTTCTTTTATAGCACCCATGAGATGTGCCAGTGCTTCACAGAAGAGCTTAGAATCTAAGGCCATGTCTACACTAGCACTTATGTCGGCAAAACTTTTGTCACTCAGGGGTGTGAAAAAACCACCCTCCTGAGTGGCATAAATTTTGCCAGCATAAGCTCTAATCTGCACAGCGCTATGTCAGCAGGAGAGCGTCTCCCGCCAACATAGCTACTGCCACTCACTGAGCTGGTTTTATTATGTCGACGGGAGAGCTCAGCTGTATCAGTACAGCGGTTCCACTGTACGCTTGTAAGTGTAGACATGGCTTAAGTTTTACACATGACACAACAATTGAGGGCAAAGTGGAAAGAGGAGTGGGCAAGGAAGGATGGAGGTTACAGCCAAGTAATCCCGTGGAAACAACTTTCATGCATCTGCACAACTTGCTGTTTCTGTATATTCTTTTTAATAAAAAAATAAGGAATAGGAAGATTTTAAGAGAGCAAATAATATTGAGTCACTCATGGGCCATAGATGGAAACGTGCTGTCATGACTGACTGAAAATTGTTAAGTGAGGAGTCATCATGTTATCTAATTTGCTTCCGCGAGGTAAGTGGCTGCACTGAGTTAAATGAAACTATTAGTCTCCTCTCAGGAGGTGAGGAGTAGTGGGGTTTAATTTACTCTCTGCTTTAGAATGTTAGCTTAAAAGAAAAGAAAATTTCCGGAAATGTATGTAGCAAGCTGGAATTCCAGCCCTGCTGCTCGAATGATTGGAACAATGAGGGCCCAATCCTGTCCCCAGTGACATCAGTGGGAACAGCCTTGAGATTATGTAAACATACGTGTGTCTGTGTGCACACATGTATTCCCACACACATTCACATATGTATAGACTTCATATTTGGGTGAACAGCAAGATGAGATGTATTGTTCCTTAAGTAAAACAATGGCCTCAGCGTGGTACATTGGATCTATAAATCTTGCCATTCAACTTGACATCCTCAAGAATTCAGTATCTCCTTATTAAAAGATGAATAACAGAACAAATAATTTAAAAAATTCTGAGGGTATTTGTTCCTCTTCTGTTCTATTGTCTGCACAACTGTGTATGTCACAGGAAATGTCCATAGGCATTAACATCACTCTCCAGGTACTGGGCATTTCTGGATACCTGGTATATGATCACATCACATTTCAGGTGGCTTTCAATTCAGCCTGTAATGATCCTTTAATTATTGGCCCTATTCTGTTGTGTTTCAAAGGGCAAGGCTTTTTGTTGCCAGCTGCACTTCACACTAAAAAACGGGGGGGGGGGGGGGGGGGGAATTATATATATATAAAATTTGTAATGCAAGATCTCTCTCAGAATAGATTATATAGCTTCCCCTGGCACCTCATGCTTCAGACAGAAGAATTGCTTCCATGTTGGAAGCTAGCCAGATTTCTAAATTGAAATATTCTCTGTATAATAAATTTCACATAAGAGAATAAAAGATAGACATATGAGGCTTCAGTAAAAGGACATTTGAGCTGTATATCTCTGCAAATAAGAAATATTTCCTCTTGAGGTAATTCCTATACTTAAAAAAAAAATCATCCCAAATCAGCTAGGTGAGCACATTTCAAAGAACAGTTAATAATTTTAGCAGTATGTAGTTAAATGATTAAATGAGAGCATGGCTAATAAAATATCACTAACATCCAGGAGAGCCTTCAGCATGCACACATGCAGTGAACATTATACAGGTTGGGCCAAATTTCCTGGTGGTGTAACTTCATTGAAGTCAGTGGAGTTCTGCCAGCAGAGAATTAGCTCCATAATCTTTAACGTTTGTTAAACTGGTGAAAAATTCCTGTAATTCTGAAGCAACACAACTGTGTAATGTATTAGGGATATTATGTGCATGGATGATACATGCTTGTGGTTTTTCTGCTCCCATTCAGATACAGTAGATGGTTTAATTTGAATTTGTAATGTAGCTTGTTATTTGAGTAAAGGTCAAATGTGTTTGTAGTATGCAGTGTAGTTGCAGCGGTGTCAGTCCCAGGATGTTAGAGACAAGGTGGGTGAGGTAATATCTTTTATTGGACCAACTTCTGTTGATGAGAGAGACCAGCTTTCGAGCCACACAGAGCTCCTTCTGCCTTTCCTATACCTGAAGAAGAGCTCTGTGTGGATCAAAAGCTGGTCTCTCTCACCAAGAGAAGTTGGTCCAATAAAAGATATTACCTCACCCACTTTGTCTTTTAAATGTGTTTGTAGCAATTCATGTAGACTTTAGGCACACTCCTTTAACTTAAGACCTGCACGCAAGCCACCTTAAAGGGACATTAAACCTTAAGGTATTTTTTCAAAGCTGGGTGATACAGTTTTTCCTTTTATCAGAAAAGGTGCTTTTCTTTTTGAAACGTGCACCTTTTTTATAACAGATCCTAAGATGTTCAGAAAGAAAATGAAAAGAGTCTCTTTATGCATGAATAAGAAGCCTACATCTTAAAAAGACTGAAGACTTTGGCATGCTAGCTATTTTAATAATGTTATCATTTCCCTACAGGCCATACCTAAATAACATTTTATTCCTCTCTGTTTAAAATAATGAAAATAAAAATTATAGTCTGTGAAATTCTGTGTCTTTTTTGCCAGTGTCTGTGCTCATTTTTCAAGCAAATGCTTCATATTTCTGCAAATGTTCAAGTCCAAACATGCGGTAATCTCTCACTCCACTTAGGCTTTCTACTTAATAGATAAGACACTCCACTGTTACTTTTTTAAATGTAGAAAAAAAATGATTTCCTTGTATCTGCAAGGAGCATGGGATGTAATTATTTCTTAGGTGGCAAATACAGGAAAGCCAAATGAACACATACAGGGGTTTTGAAAGGTCTGTATCAAATGGAAACCTTGGCAACCTTAGATTAAATATGAGAATGTGATTGAAAAGGATGTGCTGATTAAAGCAGATTTTTCTTTTCATGTTATCATTCAAATTTCTGTATAAGATCAGAAGAACTGATTGTAACAAACCCTTGCTGATTAAGGACTCGATTCTGCAAGGTGCTAAGCCTTCTGGCTCTGATCTTACATACCAGAGGCACTGCTTACTAACATCGGTGGCTCCATGCACAGTAGTCAAGCAAAAATGCTTACAGTAGTAAGCACTAAGGAGGCCGGTAGTAAGTGCTATCAGAATCAGGCCCTAAAAGCAGCCTAGACTTAACATAATAGAAATTCAGTATTGGGAACCCTTTACCTGTGAATAACCGGTTGCATTGGGAGAAATAGACATGTAACAGAGCCATTACTCCTCTGAGTAATGAGGAGAATATCCCTTTATAGGTTATATTGTAAACATGAGTTCAGTCTATGCTCCAGAACTTATACATTTTTTATGAAGTTATAATTAGTGCAATTTTGGACTCCTGCAGGTTCAAACTTTGGCAATGAAGATCAAACCCCTCCTAAGGCATCTGTGCCTTCTAAAGATTTACCCAAGGGGACCAGTAGGACTGCACTGCAGGTATCAACCAGCACAGCAACTCCCCGCAGGAGTTTACTTCCAGCACCGAAAACTACCATAACACCTGCTGGTAAGTTTTTCAAGCTTGTGTATTCAAGTTGCCGTCTGCATTACCCAAGTTATGTTTAAATAATATTACTAATATACTTTATTTTTTATGTGGTTACCTTTCACATGGCTCTGAGACATGTCACCAAAACTGATCTGATTTTGATTCTGTTTGCCGCTAAAGTGCCATGGTCTATTTGAACCACAGTCAGTGACACATGGGTAGTCTTGTTTTGCAAACTTAATGTCTGGAGTTGAAGGTTTTCAGTGCTGCTGGCTGCACATGCCACAGATTCGCTGTGTACAGTATTCATGTTCATTAAAATACCCACAAAATGGCCTTTTGAAAACACGAAACTTCTCTAGACACTGAATGCTTCCTTTGAAAAGAGAATTCATTGTGAAGTATATTTCCAAGGACAAGAACATGGCATGCCAGAACCAAGGAACTCACGACATTTTCACTTGAGGGAGGGAACAGGGCCGGCGCTTCCATTTAGGCGACCTAGGCGGTTGCCTAGGGCGCCAGGATTTGGGGGGGCAGCATTTTGCCGCCCTCGGCGGCAATTCGGCGGCGGGGGGTCCTTCCGCGCTCTGGGTCTTCAGCGGCAATTCTGCGGCGGGTCCTTCACTCGCTCCGGGACCCACCGCCGAAGTGCCCCAAAGACCGGGAGCGCGGAAGGACACCCCCGCCGCAGAATTGCCGACAACAACCGGGAGTGCGGAAGGACCCCCGCCTAGGGCGCTAAAAACCCTGGTGCCGCTCCTGGGAGGGAAAGAAAAGAAGAAAGTAACCAGGGTAAAAAGTCCTGGGAATTCTGGTTCCAATCCTCCCAGTAACTAAACCCTCCTTCAAATCCATCAAGACTGATTTCTTCAAATAGGCCTACAACAATTATTCCCTAACAGTACTGGCCTTAACCCAGAAGAATTTAATGAGTGAAGAGGGAATGAGCAGAAGTGCATGTTCTTAAAATATAATTTCTTTAAATATAAATGTGAATTAAATGTTTGATCAAGTATCAAAACACTCAAAGTAGGAATTAGCCACTTTTTTAGAAATAAAAAAGAAAAGGCATCATCTTCTTTATCGAAGTGTTTGCTCTATTATATGCCGTCAGCTTTCCAATGAAATAATCCATGTATTATTGTAATACTGATGGCTCTTCTTTTTTTAACTCAAAAGCATCGATTTTTTTGCATAATAAATTGAATTTTTTTTTTTTGCCATGGTTCATACAATGACTTCACTGGGACTCCTTGCATAGAAAGGAGCTGCTCAGTGGGTGTATGGGTGAAAGAATCCGACCCTACATGATTAACTTTTAAGATTATGATGTCGTTACTTATGCTGAATAGTACCTTACTTCATGAGTAACCCCCTAAAGTCAGTGGGATTACTAAACAGAGTAAAGGTATCAAAATCTGGCTTTAAATGATTCACATTTCTAGGTAAATAAACTGAGGGGGCGGGTAAGTATATACTCACTAGTAACATTTTCTTGTTGTTTAACTCACAGGTAGATTTTTCTTTTTCTTTAGTCTTTGTTCATCTAAATAAAAAGCAACAGAGGGTCCTGTGGCACCTTTGAGACTAACAGAAGTATTGGGAGCATAAGCTTTCGTGGGTAAGAACCTCACTTCTTCAGATGCAAGACTTATGCTCCCAATACTTCTGTTAGTCTCAAAGGTGCCACAGGACCCTCTGTTGCTTTTTACAGATTCAGACTAACACGGCTACCCCTCTGATACTGTTCATCTAAATGTTTCACATTAAGTTGCAGCTGGGACAGAGCTCTTCTTGAGATGAACCTATTTCTCAGCTTTCTGAAAGTACCTCAACATAGAGACTAGCCCTGAAATCCCTTACTCACAGGAGTAATCTTTGCTCATGGGACAATAATACCAATGAAGCAGCATGTCAGAATGAGAATTTGCAGGCTCTGGGTCATATTTTGTAATTTTGAGGATGTATTTGATTCAAACCATTATAAGGGTGTAGCTGAGTCAAAGTCACCTCAAATCTATGGCAATGAACAAATGTATATGGACAGACCGGGCCTGGAGTTTTCAGCATCTTTATCTCAAAAGGTTTCCTTAGGGGTGAAAGCAAACTTAATGTTCCAGCCAGTTAAACATTCTTAGGATGGTGTATTTTGATGGTGTAATGCAGCTAATGTGAGCTAACTCCACTTGAAGTGTACTGGATTTATCCTACAGTGAAAGGGACAAAAAAAGCCTTTCTCCAAAGCCAAGCAGTTTTTCAGAGCAGCTTGCTATTGCTCACACCAAATCGGAAATTGGAGGCGGGAGATTCTCTAATGGCTCCCCTGCTCGCTCTCCTGCCTCTGCTTCTGGACAGATCATACTTCTGATTGCCCACTGCACTCTTGTCCCTTGAGCTCCTTATTGGTTTCCCTGTTGCCTCCCAAGGAAAAGATGCCTCACTGATTTCCCACTGTTGGGCTCCCCCCTCTGCTAAGACTCTCCATTGATTTTCTGATGCCTCTGCTTCTTCCTTCCCTAAACCTTCTTCCATCTGTTAACACTGCCTGCTGCTATATTACAGGATGCCTTAAGCCTACCCACGTCACAACCTCTTCATCCTCTCAGGTATTGCTCCTCCTGATACGTGCTGCGTAGTTGCTTGTAGAGTCAAATGCACAAAGCAATGCACAGATCCAAGACATCCGCTCGGCTACATAACACTGATGCTGAGTTGACTGAAGTCACAACAAAGCTGTCTTGCCACCATTAAGCCCAAACCATTGTCACCCAAACAGACAAGGGTTCAGTTATGGCAAACAAGAGTAGAGAATGACTCTCTAGCTTATGTGCTCTGGCTCCCACCAGTCGAGCACCTACCACTCAGTGCAGATCAACCCTGGACTTCCCTTAATCAATAGCGCACTGGAGTTGGCCCGGTCTAGAGAAGTGATGATCAAGTGGGGCTATATCACTGGCCCTGGTACGTGTGGCTGCGGCAGAGAGCCTCAAAATACGAAGCATCTCCTGTGATGCCAACTGCTTGAGTGTGATGCTCTTCCAGTGACCTGGCGGAGTGCAATGATTAGGCAATGGCATGCGCATGGATGTGTCAGAAAGCGGTATGAGGACATGACAAGACGAATCCCTAAACCTGACTCCCTGTTATCTGTCTGCTTGGAATGAACATTGGCTCAGAAGGACAAAATGAGCATTACCCATTTGGTATTTTCCTTCGGGACATATGGCGTGGTTGGGCATCTCTTTAATGACATGATCTTATATAAGAGATAAATATTATAATCCATCATGGCCAAAATAGGAAATACTCTGTATGCATGTGAGAATGTCCATTTCGCCTTGATTAGTGATAACAGTTTAGGCCCAATAGCAGAGAATGTTACTTATATTAGAATCCCTGTCCTACAGATTTTGGCCCTGATTCAGCAAAGCACTTAAACATCTACTATGTTCCATTGGAATCAATATGACTTAAGCACATGCTTAAAGTTAAGCATGTGATTAAGTACTTTGACTATTCAAGGCATTTGAGATTATATGTGAAAAATGCAGTGGGAGCACCAGTTCACCAAAAATCTTTAGTTTCCATCAGAGAGACAAGTTGGGTGAGGTCGTATCTTTTATTGGAGAAAACTTCTCTTCGTGAGAGAGAAGCTTTCGAGCTACACAGAACTCTGGGAAAGGTACTCAGGGTGTCACAGCTAGATACAAGGTGGAACAGATTGTTTAGCATAAGTAGTTAATACATATTTCAAGGGGAAGTGGCCTGTTAACACCTCCCCAGTCATGAGGGGGGTGGTGAAGAAGAAGAAACATGGGAGGGGGATTAGTGAGTTATAATTTGTTGTAATAAGCTTTAAATCCAGTGTCTCTATTCAGACCATGATTTTTAGTGTCTAGCACAGTTATGAATTTAAACTCCCAGGTTTGTCTTTTGAAAGTGTTGTGCAGGTTTCCTTTAAAGATGAGGCCTCAGAGGTCAGATATAGAGAGATTGCTTTGTGAAAAGTGTTCCCGCACAGGTGATACCGTGGTTTTGGCTTTTATCATTTTTCTGTGTGAGCTCATTCAAGAGCATAGTGATTGTCTGGTTTCACCCACATAGTTGTTGGGGCATTTAGTGCACTGGATGAGGTATACCGCATATTGTGATAGGCATGTTGCGGGACCTGTGGATCTTGAAAGGTGTATTGTGGTGGTGTTGATCATCATAGCAATGGAGGTATGTTTACAGGTTTTGCATCTGTTGTTCGGACGGGGTCTGGTGCTGCTTTGAGCTGGTATGTCCTGGTCTCTGGGGAGCTTGCTGCTGATGATGAGATGATGAACTGGGAGGGTTGTTTGAAGGCCAGAAAAGGGGGTTCAGAAAATAATTCTTTCAGGATGTGGTCCCCATCGAATATGGGTTGTTACTGTTTGATAATACCCCGTATGGGTTCCAGTCTGGGGTGGTAGGTGACAACTAGGGGTGTGTGGTCGGGAGGATTCATTCTGTACCGAAGTAGGTTCTCTTGGGATATTTGGGTGGCCTGATCCATGATGCAATCTACTTCTCTGGTGGCATGTCCTGGTCTGGTGAAGGTGGTTTTAAGTGTGTTAAGGTGTATATCCCAGACTTTCTCCTTGGAGCATATTCTGTGATATCTGAATGCCTGGCTGTAGATAACAGATTTCTTAGTGTGTTTACTGGATTTGTGAAGTTAGGCCAATTGCCCTCATCAACAGTACATGCCCAAATCAGTTGCCACCATTACCCAGCTCAAAATCAATCCATTATCCACGTCCCTCACTGCTTTCTCTCCCAGACTTACTTGTTAATGCTGAGCAGCACGTCCATAGTGCAGTCACTTACACTGCTCCACGGACACAAGGTCTTAGACACAGATAACTGTGCCACTGAGTGAGTCTGTGTCAGATAGGATGATACCCTGTGTGGCCTGAAATATAGGAGATTACTAATGATCTACTGTTCATGTGCAGGGAATGTGTGGCCCTGGAAAGCCCTTACACAGCCAG